CATTGTATGATGGCTGCAGTGAATCCACTACTGCTTTTCAGCTGCTCTTTTCTACTAGAGCAGCCTCAAGGGGAAATAAGAGCTGCCATCAGGCTAGGAAAATTTAATGGCACTTTCCACAGTGAAAATGATTATAGAATCTTTATGGTGCTGGATCTTTCCCATTCTCTTAAACGTGCATGATACTAAATTCTGATGTAGGTAAGTTGACTTAAGCATTGATAAGGAATAAATTGAAAGTCAATTTGTTAAATCATTTCATTGGACAGTCTGCCTAGTGCCTCCACCAAGTAAGAATTCCCGGGCTGTTTTGCTGACTCAGCTTAGACAGCAGTCCTTCTTCAGAACAATTGTAGGCACTCGGTGAATGTGAAAAAGCATCCTTTAAATACAGTTATGTCTTGCAGTACTGTTGCAGATGACAAATGGGCAGTTGGCAAAAAAAAAATACACAACTAATAGGACAACTTGAAATTTCTCCTGGTAACAGGTTGCATAGCAACGCTAAAACACAAAGCGCTATTAGGAAGCACTGAGAACACAGAGCCAAGAAAACAAGAGTTTCCCCCACACTTTATAACACAGAGACTGGCACAGAAGTAACAGCCTATTAAATGCAACATAGCCTATGTGGGAGCACCCACATGAGCGGATATTTTTTCACACTGTAGTAGCACATTTCAGCTCTGTCTCAGGTATTAAAATAAATTATGGCTTTTGATTTCTGTCCCAGAATGTTCAAACAGAAGTTGGTCATACTGAACTTGAATGTTCGGTTTGTTACCCTATCAAGCTCATTTTTGGAGCGTAGATCTTATGTAGGCAAAATGGCACCCTGGCACCCAAGAGGAATATAGATCATTGAGACGAGCGGAAGGATTCGCTCTCTCTCTCTCTTATATTATAGAAAAATGCTAAGCAGAAACAGGTGTAGGGAAAGAGCAACAACATCACAGCTTACGAGGGCTGACCCATGCTCAATAGGCACAGGACATTGACAGACTGCCATAGGGGAAACAAGTGGTGGAAACAGAACACCACGTCCTGTAGAAGGAGTAAGTTGACTATGGTGCTGAGCAAGAACAATTCACATTGCAGCATTTTTTGTTGGAGCTGCTATTATATCAATGCACAAATCATTCATTATTGCTATAATTATTTTTGCAGTATTGGCTCTACAACTGTTTTGGTTCTGCATCCTGGGATGCTTTACTCAGTTCATGAATGCTTATGATTACAGTAATGTGCTTTCTTTCTGTAGGGTTACCCTTCAACACAGCTGGAAACGGCAATTTGTACAGGAAGTGGCTGCTTGTGGGAGCTAGTAAATTGTGCTACCTTCATTTTTCATGACTCTGACTGCCTCTTTGTTTCAGGATCAAATGTAAGGTGTTGCTTTTGGCCTATAAAGCCTTGATACATCAAGAGGCATCATGTTGGTGGGTACATTTGGTTAATATCCTGTGAATTCTTAATTTTTCCTTTTTTAAAGTTACCATTGCTTCTAATGAATTGTTTTCTGAAAACTTGCTTTTTATTGTTATTATTCTGTCCTTCCTGATTTTGCACCGTTTTAGAGGTTTGTCAACTGTCTTTTGCACAGTGAAAGGTTAGATTTTACTGTAAATAAATACATAAATGACAACTGCAATCAGACAGTCGTGTCACAATTCTCTGTAATTGTGACAAACCATACTGCTAACTTGAAGGGCCACAAGAACAACTGCAAGGAAACAACACATAAAACGGGCAACATATGAGAAGCTTGCTTTTTATTATTATTATTATTCTGTCCTTCCTGATTTTGCACCGTTTTAGAGGTTTGTCAACTGTCTTTTGCACAGTGAAAGGTGGGTTAGATCTTACTGTAAATAAATACATAAATGACAACTGCAATCAGACAGTCGTGTCACAATTCTCTGTAATTGTGACAAACCATACTGCTAACTTGAAGGGCCACAAGAACAACTGCAAGGAAACAACACATAAAACGGGCAACATATGAGAAGAGGTGTGTGTGTTGCCCCCAGCAAAACCACCAAAGGTCCTATCCTAACTCGCTGTCAAATCTGTTATTACAGCTCTGTAAAAACATTCCAGATTTCCCTTGAAATGCACATGTAAGACATAAACGCATGCACACATCACGTTTAAAGCCTATTATTCTTCCAGGGCTTCCAGGAATGCAGTCTGGCCTACAAACCAAAGCACTTTGTCTCTTTGTGTTTTTTAAAGGAAATTACAGTATAGGGTTTTTTTTCTGCAACAATACCATCAGTGGGGGCAGCAGAGATGCCTCAAAAATGAATGGGAGGCACATGCAGTGCCCCATTTTCTATTACAACAGAGAAAAGCCTAATAGTTCTTTCAAGGTATTCTGAACAAGTGATTTTATCAGTGCCCCCCCCCCCAAGTGAGGAGATTTAAAACCCAGATCTCCTGAGTCCTAGTCCACCCATCACTCTACACTTGGTGCCCCAATGAAAATGACAGAAGTACACAAATGTGTAGACTACAAACTCTGGTTTAGACAGTTATAGCAGAGTCCTGAACTTGTTTTATTCATTTTGATTTGGAGTGATTCACAGCAACATAGCTGAAGCTCAGGCTGCTCACAGGTATTTTATATGATTCTGATAATTACCGTAGGCACAATGCCTATGAAATTAACACTGAGATATGCTAGGACAGTAATAACATCAAGCCCACTATGCACAGAGGGTGGCAAGACTCAAAAAGACTCCTGCTGGATTCATAAGATAAGAATGCAATCGGAACATAGTACTGTACCTTTTTAAATGGTACTGAGAAAGCCTGGGCTTTGCCAGTAATGTGCATATAAAGTAACTGAAATGCTGTACTGCAAATAGTGTATTTTAACTGGTAACAAATCCTTTCCTTCTCTTAGGAAGTAAAACCTTTTATTGCACACAATTAAGTACTAAAACATGCTAGATTAAAGTCAGAAGTTACTAAAAAGGAATAAAAGAGAAGCCAAGGATGCCTCGCTCTGTTTTTGATAGGAATACTAATTCAGAAAATAAAGAAAGCCTTTTTGAAAGAAAATGAAGTTCGCATTCTCTAAAGGTCACCTGTTGTTTTTACCCTACTTTGCAGAATATTATTTAAAAATCATGTCACATGCAATTGCAAATGGGAAATTGCCCTTTAAATAGGGATTAATTTAACTGATGTCAAATCAACTTGGCACTTTCTTAAAACATTTATTCTCCTCTCTGTGTAATACAGTATTCACTGGAAAAATGCCCGTTGAGCCACATCACTTTTTTGTCCCTTTTTGCCTTCCACAATCGAGATCCCACATTGTCAGGGTTTGTATACCAAGAATAAATTACAGATAGGTGTAACTTGGCAGATCTTTGCAAACAGACTTCATTGGCTGACCCCAGCAGACATACATTCCTTCTTCTCATTTTATGGGGCTTAAAATGAACCTAACACAGCCCACTGTATGTGAAGCTGCAAACATTTCAGGGATCAGTTGATGCAAATAAGTAACTGACAGTATAGGTTCCTGTGAAGTTAGAGGAGAAGTGATTCACAGGAACATTTTGCTTCCAAGCTTTATAAGGATAGTCCATTGCATAATCCTTTATTGCTGGCTCTTATTTGGGTCATAAGGTATCCTTAACTTGTATTACATTCTATGAGTAATTTTATGGCTTAATGGTTAACAATATCCTGAACCTTTTTCTCTCCATTCCATTTCTCATCCTTCTCTCCTTCCTACCAAGATTTCTTGTTAACATGGAGACCAATAGTTCAAAATCTCAACTAGCAACAAATGTCTCCATAAACATCATTATGTGGCACTGTGTGTTTACCGATGTGAACATGGTGCATTCGTCTGACTTCCCCCATACAATTTGTAGCCTATTCAATAAAAGCTTATTACCTGCTGGGGGGAGGGAGGCAAACAGAGGAGGAAATATAATTCTATTTTGAAACAAGGGAGTAGTATTACCACCACTGATCCAACCAGGTGCAAATATCAAATTATGAATTACACAGGCAGAAGACATTGGAATGCACAGCGCCTCATCCAAATAGGGATATGTATGCTGGGAAGGCCTCCTTGCTAATCCAGAAGACTGGGTCAGATCTGATTATTTTCTAATTCTGCACAGAATGGATGTAAAATGTATGGATCCAAACAACCCTTTGGTTGAACAGCATGCACTTCTTTCTGGTCACATGTGGAAGATGTTCCCAATTCCTGCCAATTAATTGCTTTAGTTCCCAATACCATATCCCCATCCAGAGACTTTTCCTAAACTAAGTAGCAGCTCTCCAGCACACGGAGGGGGCCTGAGCTAGAAAGGCCTGTTGTGCAGATGCTGCTCAAGCACAAATTGAGTGTGCGTGTAATTCAGCATGCTGATGATCTGTTTTTTTGTTTTGTGTGTCTTTAGATTGAAGTCTATTTTGTAGACCTGATGTCTGCAGACTCCCAAGCATGTGGCAATGAATTAAGGTAGACTTGGGGTGAACATGTGGAATCCCTGGACAGTTTGCCAGAGGGCCACTTCTGATACCTGCTGGGCCTCTCTCCTTTGGACATACAAGTAGATCTTGATGCTTCAAAATCTGCATCTAGACAGCATTTTAACTTTTACAATATGCCCCAATACTGCACAGTTCCAGGGCACTGTGGAAAACACAGCCACCCGAGCCAGATCACCCTCCTTGCAACGCTAGAGTGCTTCTGCTGCCACAAGGCTAATCCTCTGGAGCCCACAGATGATAACAGTCCATTAGAGTGCCATTTCCCCCAAAGTCCTTTGAACCAAGACCAAGTCTGGAAAAGAACTGGAGATCTAACTCAACTACTGTTGAGGCTCAAATGAAAAAGGGATCTAATGATTGTTGTGGGTTTTTCGGGCTCTTTGGCCGTATTCTGAAGGTTGTTCTTCCTAACGTTTCGCCAGTCTCTGTGGCCGGGGGATCAACAATTAACCACGTACTGAAATAAAAAGTACAATTTTTCTGTTAAATCAGTTTTATTTCCACAAGTCAGCACAAATATGTTGTAGGCAAGAGGCTGAATGGCTATTTCATATGACCACATTCCAAGCTGTTAATACTGGAGACTGCTCAAATACAGTGTTGTACAACAACACCAAATATATATTTTGTTGTTAAAAAAAATTCTTGGCCTGAACTTGGAGAAGCAACCATACTGGGAACATCTTAGCACAGAGTAAGTCTTTAAAAGAGAGGCCACTGAATCAGTTCTCTATAGTAATTCCTCTCCTTTCCTTAATTAGCTGAAGATCAGAATACAATACAGTAGTTTAAATTCAGTGTCATACCAGCTTTTCCAATTAATGATCTTTCAGGGAGTCAGTCAAGCCTGTTATGCACTTACATCATTGCAATGAATTTGGATTATACATAACACTATGACACAATTCTCATCTGATGGCCTATGTCCAAAATTACATGAATTACATGAATGACCTTCTGCCTATCCAAAAGGACATCCTGTTATTGTCCTTTTGGATGCCCCTCAATCTATTCTGAAGAATCCTCCAACGTTATGGAGATATGAGGCCATGCAGGAGGCAAAAAGCAATGTTCCAACACCACTTTCTATTCTGCTGATAGGTGGCCAGGTACATTCTGACGCACAGATAAAAAGAGAAAAAATATTCAGGTAGAAAAAAACCCAGTATGTCAGCATCCCACCCTCAACTGGCAGTCTTTTAACAGGGTCTTGAAAGGACACAACTAAACCAAGCCAAAAAAAAGTAGTAATAAGGCATGTTTAACGTCTCGCCATTTTAACATTTTTGGGGCTGTGGACACTTAATAGGCAGAGAGATCTGTGGAAACCAAGTTATTTTAACAATGAACCAAAGCTCAGGCAAGTGAGCTGAACAGATAACAACAACATTTAAATTGGAGGGGGGGGGAAAGGATTTTGCACAGACCAGCGAAAATAATAAATGATCACTAGGCAAACATTACTGAGAGTCCTATTGCAAACTTATACATGTAGGGGGGAAGTGCACAAGCACTGGCAGCCAATTGCCAAGCCTTAACAAGCTCTTGTACACAAACCTAATCATGGAATGGGGCACACCCCAGACAATGCAATTAGCATTGGCAATTTGCTACAAAAACCTGTGGGATTTCCCCTGTGCAAGTGTTAAGTTCACAATAAGATGGACACAAGACTGTACCTTGCTTTAAAACCCTAGAAAGAAATCACAATGCAATCCTTATTACAAACTGCCAGGAATTTCTGCTTAGTCAATTAAGTCACTTGAAAAGCAAAGCACTTGATGCTTACTTTTAATATAAAAACAGGTGTATGCCTGGAATACATTCTTAACTCTATTCAAATGAATGTCTACATTCTCACCGGTGTCAATGGAATATGGACCCTCACTGTAATGATCTGCAGCTGAGGCAGATTATGATCACACCTTAGTAATAAATAATGTTTTAGTCAAGAAAAGGGAAAGACAAAAAAAGACCCTCATTGATGCCAGAAGACGAAATACACAATTTCAACATCCGAATTTGTACATATTTACAACCTGCATAAATGCTTCCAAAGATTACAGAAACTACTGGTAATGCCAAATGTGGCTACATATAAAATTTCAGTGATTTCTTTAAAAAAGAGAATGAGTACATATGTAGTTGTGTATAAAATCTCAGACAAGTGGATATATACACACATTATATATTATATATAAAGAACAAAATACAATGAAAAAGGTTGCCTTAACTAAACATTACAGTAGGATATTGGGCAGTACTTAATGCAGTATCAAAGACTGTAGAACAATAAAAATTTTGATTATCTGATTTACTGACATTTATGAACAGTTCCACTGTTCAAAAACTTGCATTTTGTTTACAAAATATTTTAGCTGAGAAAAAACTGACCTTGCTCTAAATAAGGATTCTGAAGAGCACCCTTTGAAATTTTGAAAGGAGAAAAGAAAGTGTTCATATACATATACATGTCCCATGTTGCAATTCCAGACAATTAGCAGAAAAAAATAAAATAAAAGCCACCATGAAGAAAAAGCACAACTATCTTTGTTGGCATGGAAAGATGACCAATAGAGTAAAGATTCCCAAAGGACTCCCCTCCCCATCCCAATTAAAGAAAGAAGACATCTTGGTCCAAAATGAACTCCACCTGACTAGCATCATGCTTCCGAATAGCCTGTTAGCACCAGTATAGGAAGTGAATGGAGCTGCTAATCAACAACAGGCAAATTTGGACAAAGACAGACCTTATTACAAATATGTTATTTCTACAATAGATAACATATGCTGCAGGAGAATTGAGATAAAATTATAGATTCCTTTGATTCCCATGCATTTAATAATCTTTTGCTTAGTTAAATCATTTCCCCACCAACCCACCCTCAAATGCAGCCATATGTAACCTATAAACACATGCCCCCGCTGCTGCTTGTAGGAAAGCTGAACCAGAGTAGCTCTGGGGATGTCCAGTAGGTCAGGATGCCCTAAGAAGTGTAGAAGATAGAATGCAGAGAGCAAAGCAAAGACATGCAATAGAGCAGTGGTTCTCAACCTTGGGTAAGATGATTATGTTAAATAACTGCAAAGTAAATGGGCAACAAGGACAGAATGGGCATCCAGAAGAACAGAGACTTCCTTTTTCTCTCTGAAAAAAACATCAGGACAGAGAGTCTTCCTGAGCCCTGAACAATATAAAGATGCATTGCCACGGTGTTTATTCTAAATCTTCACAGTTAACAATATGTATTTTCTAGTTAAGGCAAAATGTTTGTGGTAAATAAACCATTGTATAAACATACTTTTTCCAATGTTAAAAGCTTTTCTTTCATATGACGTTCAGTATTCAGTGACACCAGGGAATGAGAGCAGATGTAAAAGACAGAGCAAAGAGTCCAATTCCATTAAGCCAACATGTGTTTCAAAGTGAGCTTACATACTTTAAACTTCCTTAGATTGGAGTACAAATCACTTCACAGCAATAAATGGCATTAATTTCTAAGAAATGCAAATCAGAAATCCATTCTGGCAGAAATCACAAAGACCATTAACTTCTTCTGTCATTGCAGGTTTTCTGCTTCTAAGTTCCCAAATGCTTTATTGTACGATATAAAATGCAATCTGTTAAGATGATCTACCAGGGATGCAAATGGAAAGCAAATCAGCTAAATAAATTGGGTTTCAAGAGAGCACTCCAAATTTAAAGGTTCCATAAAAACAATGGCATTTATGAAGTCTGGAAAGAACAAAGGAGAAGAGCTGCATATATTCACATCTGAAGCTTCCTCCTATGAAACTCACTACAAGAAAAAAGTTATTTCAGAGAAGTTGTGTAAATAGGCAGGAGAGTAGATGGAACACTATACAAGCCAGGATTTGCGGGCCATGTTTGTGTGTTTCTAAACACGTTAGCAGCAGCTCAACCTATTTAAACAGCTATGCAGAAAAACTGCTAAACTTGAATTAACTTTAATTCTGACATTTGCATGGTTGCATTTTCCCTTGAGCAGAAGCATCCTTTCAACAGTGGAGAGGCAACTTAAATGACCAGGGTCAGCAACATCCAAGACTGCTTTCAGGAACAGACTAAGCATTTTCACAGAAGAGGCTGCTGATGGTAGTTTGTTTGCTGCTGTGGGAGTGAATGAGCTGGAACGGCTGGATAGCACACTCCTTGAGGCAAACTAGACACACTGTTCTGATAGGCCAACATATCCATAGACATGCCCATTTGTTGACTGTAAGGAACTGTGCCAGCTGGTGGAGGGCAAGAATTCTGGTTCACGTAAGTAGGGTTGGACACAGCATCTAGACCGGTGCTAAAATACAAAGAAAGACATTAATCAACTGGCAGTATATATTAGTATTCTTAAACAATGAACCTGCAACATATAGTTAATATTATCTTGCCAAAAGAATACCTTAAATAGGCTGTCTGAGTAGGCTGAGATGCTCCCGTAGAATTTATTGTTGGAGGCAAGGACCTCAGGGGACCAATCTGATCACTTCCCGGGTTGTAACCTTGTGGAACAGCATGGACCACATAGTTCCCACTGTGAGGATGCATGGGATAGGACTGTAATGGGAACAAAACAATATTGCTAGTCAGCACTGCATGGTGCATAAGAAACATGAAGGGATAATTCACAAAAAAGCTGTTCAGTCTTGTCAGGCAAAAATTGCACTGTGTAAAGCTTGCAATGTTCTCCTCTAAGGAGGAAAGTAGTTAGTCAGGGCAAGGATATTGCAGTTCTACCAGTATCAAGGTCACATCTGTGAAACCCCAAGACTCCCAGTGATCCTTGCAGGCAAGGGCATGAGTAGGTACAGATCCTGTTCCCATTTACTACCAGCCCTACCCACCTTTTAGCCTTAAAAGGGCACTGCAAGTGCCAGTGCGACTGTCCCCCTAACCCAAGGCCATACTTTGTCACAGGCATTGCACTGGCCAAAACAAAAAAACAAACAAACACCAAAAATAAAACAGAGAACCTCTGAAATCATAGGTTCCATTTGCGCCCCAAAAATAAAACAGAGAGCCTCTGAAATCATAGGTTCCATTTGCGCCCACATACTAAACCACATAACTGATCCATTAGAGTTCATGGCTTTGCAGTGAAGCAAAAACATGGCTCCAAGGATTGGATCCACATGAATATATAGGATTTTAACATAAGATCTGCCTCAAACCACTGTCAAATACTATCCCATCTGTGCCCATAGCTTACACCACAGGAATCATGGATACAACAGTACATGGCTTTGCTGTGCTACAAAAATGCTAATCTAAGACGCAGATCCTATGGATCCACATTCAGCTGATTCAGCAAGGCATTAAGTAAAATGTAACTAACATCTCAAGTTTGTCAGAAGTAGCCCTGCATTATTAGGAATTTATTTTATTAAAAAGCTCCAGAGGAATCGAAAAATATGATTGAGGGGGGAAGGTTTCCACCATCCATTTCAATGCCACAACCCACCTATCATATCACAGGGTTGTCACCACAGTTAACACTGCCCCCAATGCCATGTTGGTGAAAGTACCCATTGGTGAAGGCTGAACAAAGAGTTATTTTCAATCTCACTAATTCATGCCAAAAAGAATGAATGTCTTAATCCTGTGCCAAAAATGTGCAGGACAGCTCTTACAGAGGAAGGATGGACCATTCTAAGTAGGAACACTTGTGGATGAGGTCTTTTTTTTCAATCCAAACAGTGCCAACTGTGATTCATATACCATATTTATATGCCAATGTGGACAGGCACTAAGTAACATTATGTTTGTACTGGGCTAGAATGTTTCCCTGCTTGCTTGCCAAAGTGATTCAAATTCTTCAAGATCTTTAATATTACAAGGACCTTAACAAAAGGGAAAAAAAAGCTTATCTGTGTTACATGGAGTCATTACTCAACAACCACTTTAAGATGAGGGTCTTATATTCCTTCTAGTAAACTAAAAAAACTTATTTTAATATCTATGCAACTCAATATATTCTTTTCACTGTAATTTTGCAATTTTTATTATCATTGTACCATTGTTGTTTGAATCAATAAAATCGAAAAGGGAAAAGAAAATACTGTAGGTTGTCCTTCAAAATTTAGCTCTTTAAGGTAGAGGCTAAACAGTACTGTACAAACAGTTCTACACAGTTATCTGCTCTCTTTTAATTCTCACCAGGAAGCAGCATTATCTCAAAGTGAGAATATTAAACTTGAGATGTCTAATACTCATAATTTCCTTTACACCCCCAAATGCAATCAATCTTTCATCATTTCTAAGAGTTCAAGAAAAGGCATAACAGCTAAATGCATCATCTCTCATGCTGAAGTTACCATGGTAACTATTCTTTTCACACATTATGTAAAACCCACCTAATATATGCAGCCACATTTCTACTGTTTTATATTTAATTAATGCCTGCAAATTCTCCTCTTCTCTCTGTTTTTGTAACTTAAATAAACTAACATGGGAGTTTGGATTTGGAATGACTTCCAAGTCCCAAAATTTGGAGTTACTTAATCCAAGGGGCAAAGAACTTATTGCCTAGTGGTATATTGCTATGTACCATCATGCCACTTCTGACTTACAGCAACCTGAATAAGATTTCTCAGGTTTGTGAGATGTTCAAAGAGTGATTTTCTCTTGCCTTTCGATCACTCCTAATAAGTTTCCATGGCTAAGCAGAGAAATGAACTCAGGTTTCCTGAGTCACAGCTCAGCACTCCACCATATCACACTGGATCTCACCTAAAGCAATACAAGATAAAAATCAAGGCTATATTTCGTAACATAGTTTTTGGCCTTCTAATGTTTATATACTCATTTTCAAGGGTCCTGTAGAACAGCCATACAGGTACACTGATTGTATCCAAGGGTATATCTGTCTTTTGTGATAAAATTAAGGCAATGCTGCTGTACCCTCTGTGATTTTGCATTCTGAGGTCGCAGTATGCCTAGGTCATAAGTCATTACCTGCCACGCCACATGCCTTTAACTGATAATCTGTGAAGAACTTCAGATAGTAAATCAAATAATCTGCTCACCATTATGCAAAATCACAATGAAAATATTTAACTTGGGAAATTTGGTAGCTTGAATCCTAATCAAGACTCTAAAAAATTCCATTCGCATGTAAAACCGTTGTGTCACCTCCTCTTCATACCATCCACCTGCACCCTATTCCCCAAAGCTGCTTCTGAGAATCCAGCAACCAAACAGAATAGCTTAAGGGGGTGTGAGGTGCATGTGAAACAGGGAATCGACAAAAATCAAGGATTATTGCTTCTAAAATGCACACGTCTTTGGTTATAAGTTTAAAAGAATATTACAATTAGTATTAAAATGTACTAGCATATTAATACTAATAGGAGGAGCAATACAAGCATATGGTGAGAAATCATTAAGAAATCTTTTGAAATTTGTATGGAAATCTCAAGTTGCTAGTAGAGAGGTAGTGAAGTTTGCTCTTGTTCAAAGTCTAACATCCTTGGTAGAAGGCCTCAGAATGAAATTAGGGGGGAAAAGTCTCTGACCTGCACTGGAACGCCAGCTGATGCAGGTGGATAGGATCCGGATGAATGCATCTTTGAGTACGTAGAATACATAGGTGCTTCATTCACTAATTTGTTGTAGAGTTCCAATGCTTCCATCACTTTAACATTTAGTTCGGATAACTCAGAATGCTTCCTACAGCAGAAGAGGAAAGTCAAGTGTTTTCAATTCCTGTGCATTAGCTGCATTTATTAAGTTTAACTATAAAATGAATTAGACAGAGCCTTCTAAATATTTGGATTAGAATTCAAAAGTTTAATTCCATTGATAGAACTTCTCTTGACTGAAGCGTTAGAAGGGAGTGACCCTTCTCCCACTGCAACCACTAAATCTGCTCTGGAGCTAGGATACCCTTTATAGTTGGGTTCTGTGCAGTATGGAAATCTACAAGGGAGATAGAAAGGAAAGCTGGTGGCTGGGATCAGTGTGACCTGGGATGTAGGCTTCTGTCTCCCATATCCTCTATTGCAATGGTTCTCATCCAGGTGTTCTTGGGCTGCAATTCCTAGATACCTTCACCACTAACAGTGCTGGTCAGGATACCTTGGTTCATCCAGGTGTTCTTGGGCTGCAATTCCGAGAAACCTTCACCACTAACAGTGCTGGTCAGGATTTATGGGAATTGTTGTCCAAGAACACTTGGGTTACCCACGGTTGAGAACCACTGCTCTATTGCAGGTCTTTGCTTTGCTCTCTGCATTCTATCTTCTACACTTCTTAGGGCATCCTGACCTACTGGACATCCCCAGAGCTACTCTGGTTCAGCTTTCCTACAAGCAGCAGTGGGGGCATGTGTACTAACCACATTTTACATTTTAATTTTACTTCCTTGTAGTAAGAGATTATCTTACCTATCAATTTCTTCCAGTTTCTCATCAATCATGGGGCCCATCTGTTGGCATATATCTAGTGACATAAAAGTGTTGACATTTTTTTTCATTTACATCCTCATAAATCAAACTACAGAGCAATAAGGCTGCAAGTAATGTAAAATGTATTTAGCATGCAACAGGAATTTCCTGTAGTGATGGGCCAGCAAACACCACCTGCAAAATTTATTTCAGTTTGCACTTAGTTTAATGAACAAATCAAAATGAACCTAATAGTGGTGTTGGAAGAGGTTTATTTTTTTGTTTGTTTCATAGATTTTTATACTGCCCCATCAGTGCAAGACATGGTTAACAGTTCTGGATGGTTAGCAATTGGTAAAATCAAACAGAAATAGCGAAGCAAACCATAAGAATGATAAAATGAAAGAACAAATCAAATCAACTTGAGAATCACAAGACAAAGACACTGTGAATAGGGTGGGCAGGGCAAATGGCAAATTCATTTGAGGTTGCCATCAAAAGCTTCTGTGGAGAGCCATGTCATGGGCAATCTCTTAGAGATAGGTAAGGAGGGGGCTAGGTGTAGTTAACGGGGAGCCAATTCCAAAGGGCTTGTGCCAAAACCAAGAAATGTAATCATTATTATATTTAGCAGCAATTAAATACCTTCTAAATCCAGAAGATCAGGAGAATCAGGTTTAGGATCACTTGGATCTATGCTCTGAAGTAACTGCAATGTCTTATCCATCTTATTCTGAAAGTGGGGAAAATGCATAATTACAAAGGTAGTAGCACTCTTTCAGAAATTCATAAAACTTTATTGCTATGCCACAGTAACCTCTTCAACAAAAAAAGTCCTACACATGACATATATATCAGTCAGAAACCACCACATACCTCGTCTATGTAAACTGGTTCAGGTGTAGCTTTTGCAGTTTCCTCTGTAGCGTCTTCACAAGAAGAGCTTTTATCCACAGTTGCTGTTAAGAGAACTTACTAATATGAATTTCTTTTCAGTTTAGTTCCAGTAGCCTAAAAATATTTCTATTACTCTAGTCTGCTAATACATTTCTCAGCATACTGTAAGTTCTCTAAGTGGAGAATTTTTTTTAAATATGTGCACAGAAAACCTTTAGATTTGCTGCTATCAAGATAGCATCTTTTAAAACACACATTATGCACCCTGAACTCAGAATCCAGATGGCAAATTAAAAGCCATTTCATCCCACAATTTCTAGTAGCATCTAACTTGCAATATTTCAATGTCTTTGCTCAGCAGTGACAAATTTTTAATCCAACTGGAGCACCATTTAAAAACCAACTTTCTTCACAAACAGAATTTCATCCTGTGCAGTTATACAGCGAATGAAGGTCTTGCAGGTATAAGGGAAGCAGGATCTTCTGTCATACTGCACAGAGTACAAGTGATTTAGAAATTAGAGCACAATGAGTCAGAGGATTAGATCCCATTCCCAGACCACTCAGTGACTTTGGACAAGTCTTTCAATTTCATGGCACTTCTCTGCATAGAAGTGGGATAAAACACTTAGTGTATAATTTTTCAAGTACTTCCGAAACCAAGTTTTTATTCAGCTTACCTGAGTCAGGTTCATCATTTAAGTTAGAGGTCACAAAATTAGAAGGGAACAATCCCACTCCTCTGTGATTTTCTCCTTTCCACCAGTTGGCATCACTGAGTAACAAACATTTACATGTTAGCACTCACAAACTGATCCACAATATTTTTATTGCCTCCTTCAGATCTCTAGGCTTAAGACTTTTTTTTTAATTCACAAATTAGTACTGGTTACAGCTTGCTTTCTTCTATTTGTAGCTCTCTATTAGAAGAAAAGCAAGAGCAACAAACTTCAATTGCTTGCAATGCAAAACAGTCAGAGCCGGTATGATTCAGTGGTTGGAACAGGAAAGCCTGGATTTAAATCCCCACTCCACTATGAGTAGAATCTGAGGTGGAGAGGAAAGAATTCACTGCTACTGAGTTGACTGACATTCGCCTCAGTTCAGAAAAAGGTCCTTCTCAGCCAAAACCTCTCAAGGGCATCACATGTAGGTTGCAATATATCCAACCATGTAAGGCTAGTGGACCTCATCGATGCAACAATTTTTCGGAAATAAAAATTTTAAATTTCTCCCTTCCCTGGAAGTCTCAAGGTTCCCATGTGTCCTCTTTGATTGTGAGAAACATGTTGAGGGCAGTGGAGAGCCTTTAATTTCCTAAAATTGCAGTGGGCGTGTTTTATCAGTGGCAGTAATTTTCAGAAATTAAAGATTCTGCTCCCCATCCTGCCAGATCCCGTGATTTCTCCATGACAAAAAGAAACTCACTGGAACCATGGGACCTTTTGGGGAGGAATCAGATATTTTTTTCGTTTCTAGGAAATTGGCATGGCTGGTGACATGATTACCTTTACAAGTTAAAGCAACAGAATTTAGCTTAACAGCTTAACAGTTATGAAAGCGTACAAATCAGAATGTTAGTTATTGAAGGCAGCAAAATTACTTACAATGATTGCTAACAAATTCATACTTAACGAGTTAAAACCCTGAATTTAAATGAAACTTGTTTCCAAACATACACTGAGTTACTTGGACAAACAATACAAACTATACACAGACCTACTGATCACATGCATGAACCACACAATTATTTGAGAACAGATTTACAAAGGCTTGAAATAGTTTTATCTAGATTATTTAAGAAACTAAATGTGTCTTGCAATTATAAATGCTCTGGCTTTCAAATGATACGGAGCATGCAATAAAAAGACATACAGAGTACACGATTAGTTCATTAAATAGAGGCTTCAAAGTATAACGTACCTGTCATCCAGAACAATAATTATATCCCCAGTTTTAAAGGTAAGTTCATTGTCTTCAACAGCTTCAAAGTCATATAAAGCTCGCACTTTTCTTGAGACTTTCTGGTTGTTCTGCTGAACTTCTACAGATGGGTATAAAGATTTTGTTTCTGTTTGTTGCTGTTTCTGTTCTTGCAAAGATAATTCAATAGCTATGATATAGAAAACAAAAAAAACCTTTTTATAGAGGTTTATAGGGATCTAGGCTGACTATTACATATGCAAATTGCAGATTTTATACTGTAAAACAGCATTCTGTAAAATTTTTGAGTGGGGGACCCTTGTCTAATTTGCCCTAACTTTTAGAATCTAGTGGCTGAAATCCTTTTACTTACATTATATCAACAGCTGTGACAATTTTTCAGAAATTAAAGCGTTTCCATTCCCACCCACCTCCTCCAAATAATCCCTTTGGCTCTCATTTGTTCTTGGGAAGCCACTGTGAGCTGTGAAATGGGAAGGGAGCTGAATTATAAAAATGATCATTGCTGCCTTACCTGCAGCTCCCAATGGCTTTCCTATAATGAAAGGAATTCCATAGGAGCTTTGGGGTCAAAACTGGAAACATTTTACTTTTAAAAAATCACCACAGCTGATGATGTCATCAGCCTAATGAGGCATAACTTACAAAACATGATTTCAGCCATTGCATACCAACATCACCACGCATAGCAGTGTGCATATGGCTTACTACTTTATAAGAATGTCTGTGTGCTATAGTAACAATCCCAGCATTGGGTTCAGAAGAAAATAACAGAACAGGAGACTTATGGAGTCCCTTTTGAAACCATATTTAGGAAAGCATGACAAGAACATAGCAGTGGCTCCTTCTGAGCTTCTCAAATCATGTGGAAATGATGGAGCAGTGTGCCATCAGATTTGTCACAGGTCGCCTGCCACACACAGCGTGCATCAATGAAGATCCTCTTCCACCAAAAGCATTCAGTCCTTCCAGATTCTGGATGTATGGGGCTTGTGGTGCAGTGATTAAACTGCAGCACTGCAGACCACGGTCTGAAAAAATTAAAAACATTAAAAGAAAAAATCCACCCCACCCCACCCCCAATTTTCACATGTATTACCAGCATTGATTCACTATCCACGGTCTGAAAAAATTAAGAACATTGAAAGAAAAAATCCACCCACCCCCAATTTTCACATGTATTACCAGAAACAGCCACTAGAGGGAGCCAGAGATCATGCTATGAATACGGTACTTCTTAGTAAAGAATATATAGCATGGTCTCTGGTGCCCTCTCTTGGCCAGTTCTAGTAATGTATGTGAATTTTTTTTTCTGTTTCCCCCCCCCCCTTCCCATGCGCGCTCTCTCTCTCTCTCTCAGAGTAAGCTGGGGTGTACGGGCCTGAAACACGACAAAACTGCCTCCCATGCCCCCCTACAGAGCAGAATGAGGCTTCCTGTGATTTTAAAAAAGGCCTTCTAAAATTTGGGGTGGGGTGGGGTAGGGAAGCTGGAACTGCATGCAACCAGGAGACAGCATTTTCCCAACTCTGACGTAAGGTCTGAAAACTGAAACTGCCCAGCATATTTTTTTTGTTAAATGAAGGCCTATCTGAATAAGCTACAATGCAAAATGCTAATGGGCAAAACACTGCCAGGGAAATGCAGAGCAGAAAGGCAAACACGAAACCCGTTTCTCTTTTCTGTGTCTCCTGTGTCTGGTTGTAAAATCAGCTGTGCACCCCATTGTGCAAATGACAGACTGCAGATCAACTGTAGTATGACTGTCCTTTCACGCATTTTTACCGTCCCCCCAAAAAACTGGCCACTGACTTTAAAGAACTGTTGTAAGAGATTACAATCATACCAAAAGTATCATGAAAGAAAATGAGATTCAAAAGAACATTCTTTTTTTTCTGAGATGCATAACTAATATAGTTTTCAGTTTCCTACCTCCCCTCGCCCTTGGGAGAGAGAGAAAAATGCCTTCTCATTTCTCACTTCATGGGTTCAGATTTCTTTAAATGGAAAATATTGCACATTTTAAGGAGTAAGCCATACAGTATTTCCCAATTCAGGAAGAGAAACACTTTGAATGTTATCTCACTCAAGAGACACGGTGACTAATATTTTACCTTTAGCTATATCTTCATCTTCTTTGTTTTTGCTTGATGACGCACTACCATTCTTGGCAGTCGTGGAGGGACTCTGTAAATGGCATTGCAATATAAATAAGCTAAAGAAATAAATAAGCTTGATAATTAAATCAAGTGGAAAAAGGTCTACTTTTGCCTGCACTTTAAAACAACAATGCATTAATGTAACTGTCTTCTGGTAAGCATTTTTGACCTGTGCTTTATAAAAGTAGGGGAATCACAAGAGGTACTAGAATAGTCAATATGTTTTGGATAGTAACTCTTTGAAGACACCTCAGCTTTTTCAGCTCAGTCAGAAAGTAGTACCACGTATTGTTTCACAGATAAATGGCAAGTCCTCTTCCTAGAAGAGAGGGTGATGTGTGGCCCTCCTCTTCTCTAGAGATGTTGTACTACAACCTCCTATCCACTCCAGTCGGCACAGCCAAGGATGACAGATTAGCGGAGTTGCAGTCCAACATCTGACAGGCCATACATTTACCCACCTGTGCTCTAGAGACACTATTGCAAATACAACAGAAATCTATGCTTATATAAATGACAATTGGACAGGTGTGTTTCTGCTCCTGCTCCATGATCCAATTTGCTTCCCAGTTTCCAGTTTTGAAGCAAAGAATACTACAGCCAGAATGGGTATAATTGCAAACTTTCATTTACCAAAGAAGAATTTGGGGTAACATGAGAGGAGAAGGAAGCGCACAAGCCTCACCAGCAGTCCTTGCCCTTGGCTAAAGTCTGTGTAATTATTTTTTAAAGCTGCCTAGATAAACATTTGCATGTCAAGGTTAGCTAAGCGACCAGCTGTCCTTGCCCTTGGCTAAAGCCTGTGTAATCATTTTTTAAACATTTGCATGTCAAGGTTAGCTAAGCTAAAGGCCCACTTGTGCAAGAATAATAATATTACATCAGTACATAGATTTAATATTCTAATTTTACAGATTATAGTATGATTCCTGCAAACCACCCTCAGGAAAAAAATCTTCTGAAGGGTAAGACATACATTTTATAATAGAATTTTTTTTAAAAAAAAATCGAAGTAGCCATGTGAGCTAAATGTAAAAACAAAACTCAGAGTTGAGTAATTATTGATATAATATTGATATAAATATAGTTCTGAACATTTCCAGTGTGGTGCAGTGGACAGAGTAATGGACAAGGACTCTGGAGAACATGGTTTCAATCCCTGCTTAGCCCTGGAAAGTGAATGGGAGTGTGGAACCACTCCCTTAAATATTTCACTAACCTTGAAAGCCCTATCAGGGTCTCTATAAGTGGGTTCCAACTTGACGGCACAAAACAAATATCACATGAAAGAATATGAATAAATTTAAATATATGTTTACCTTAAATGTAGTTGCTCTCACTGCAAAACAGGATACTGTACTCATAAACCAGATCACAAAGTTAAAAAAGACAACTAAAAAGAAGTGACCATGACACCATATCTCCAGTCTCTAGATTAAATGCCCTCTCTGACAAGAAAATATTAAATATTCTGAAACAAAATGAAATCTGGTCTTTTACCTGTGACCCAGCCGTGGGAAATGTGACTCCTTCTTCCTTAAGAGATTTAATAGTTGCTGATATTAAACTAAATTGTGGGTCTTTCTGAAATTCTTCCGACCATTCCACCATTAAAGCCTTTAATTTTTCACATACTTTAGGATGAGCCTAAAAATCCAGAGGGAGAACAGAAGTGTGCATAAACAAGAATTGTGATCTAATAGCAGTTAATAAAAAGTTTGTTTGTTTCAGACGTTACTGTTGGAATCCAAAACACAACAGAACTAGTTTTGCATGACAAAGGGGATTTGGGCTTCTGCTTAAAGCAACCTTCCATACATTCTGACCTTTAAACTGAGGAAATCATGAACCAACATTAAGAGCAAGTTGTTTTGGTTTCTGAATGACATAAGGCATGGCCAAGGCATAGCTAAAGTCCACCCCGGTATGTCACCGGTTCACATGATAGCCTTATTCAGGCACTCAAAAAATAAATATTAATTTGGAAGTCTGAACTGGGAGAGTTCAAGCCTTGCATCCCCGGCCTGTTGTGATCTGCACATCTGAACGACAGTCTGAACAGGAGACAGTCTGCTACGCAGGACCTCTCCACAAGATTGGAAATTTGATTTTTCAGGATGCCCAACCACATGGTAAGACAGAGCTGGGATGCCCGCTCTCTGCCCAGGCTTTTAAATTAATCCTTTTTTGCATGTCTGAACACTGTTATAACTTAAGTAGATTAGTTTTAAAATTTAGAAGTCAGTACAGTGGGGTCTCTACTTAAGAACGTCCCTACTTAAGAACAATCCAACTTAAGAACAGCTCCATTTGCTAAATTTTGCTTCTACTTGAGAACAAAAATCCAAGATAAGAACAGGAAAAAAACCTTTCCTGCTCTTTTTTTAACCTTAGGTCATCTTAGGTTAAAAAAATATTCTCCCCCTAGTGGTAGAGTATGTATTAACCAGCTTTGCATTAGTTCCTATGGGAACTAATGCTTCAATGTACGAACGCACCTCTACATAACAAAAAAACAGCCAGAACGGATTAATTAGTTTTCAGTCCATTCCTATGGGAAATTTTGCTTCAACTTAAGAACATTTCAATTTAAGAACACTATTCCAAAACGGATTAAGTTCTGAAGTAGAGGTTCCACTGTAGTTTCTATGGACGGAAAAGAGCAGATACGGATTAAATGGTTTCAACCACATGGTAAGACAGAGCTGGGATGCCCGCTCTCTGCCCAGGCTTTTAAATTAATCCTTTTTTGCATGTCTGAACACTGTTATAACTTAATTAGATTAGTTCTAAAATTTAGAAGCCAGTATAAAAATTAGTTTTAGTCTACAAAGAATTGCTTTAAAAATCAATGAATTTCAAAAATATCTTTATCAAGTATATGATAAACTTTCAGAGTTAAAATGCTCTGTTCTACCACATAAGAAACAGATACAGCAATTTCTTACAATCTGTTTTTTCTCCATGACAACTGTCACTTCAGATACTGCAATCTCTCTCTCTCTCCCCCGAACAAGCATGAACAGCATGTACCTCGTATACACTCTTTTTTTTCATGGGTTTGTATGATTTTATAACATCAGTTGCTTCCATTCGATTCCAATTATGCTCTTTCCACCAACCTGAGCTAATATCAGAAGTACATTCTATGACAACTGTCACTTCAGATACTGCAATCTCTCTCTCTCTCCCCCGAACAAGCATGAACAGCATGTACCTCGTATACACTCTTTTCATAGGTTTGTATGATTTTATCACATCAGTTGCTTCCATTAGATTCCAATTATGCTCTTTCCAGCAACCTGAGCTAATATCAGAAGTACATTCTACTGATACAGCTATTCCATCAATGTATTTTTATGTTGTCTTTAAATATGATGCACAGTAGAAACTTACCTTGTTTATTATACCACGTACTTCACTGGCAAAGTCACGTGAGCAGATTTCCAAATGGAAAATCTTTCCACAATTTGACACACAGGCTCCTAAAAGCTAAATAAAATTGGGGGGAAATTTAGATAATGGAAACAATCACACAAAATACAAAATGCTATGCATGAAAGTAATGTTGAAAGTATCTGACATAAAACACTCTATCACTGTAAACACCAGTATTAATGTAAGTTCAAGATAAAATCTGGTCATACATTCTGTCTTATAAAAAACAAATCAATCATTCATGACACTTACAGTTAGAGCTTGAAGAGCAACATGGGGTACTTTGTGATTTACTCTCTTCATGATGGCTTTAAGGCAGTCTTTTGCTCTAAATAAAATAAACCAGAATCACACTTTTATCAATTTCACAAGGGCTCAAAATCTATTGCAAGGCACAAGACACTAAAGAGACACATTGTCCCGAGACATAATCCTATAGTTCAAAGAGTAATTCCAAGCCTTCCAGAAGTACTGTTTATGATGTCTCCATATTCAGTTGCTGAGTACACATAAACAAGACAGCCATCACAGGAACAACCCCACTCCCTCTCTATATGTTGATACAGAATCTGTATCAGATTTGAAGGTTTGAAAAGAACTAATTTCCTATATTCTGACTGCTTTTCCTTTGTATCAGATATTTAGCTTAAAACCAGGTACTGCCAATCTCAAATAGAAAGCTAGCTAACTACAGAAAACACAGTGGTGCCTCACTAGACAGTTACCCCGCCTGACAGTTTTTCGCTAGACATTGACTTTTTGCGATCGCTATAGCAATTCGCAAAACAGTGATTCCTATGGGGGAATTTCACTGGGCAATGTTTGGTCCCTGCTTCGCAAACCGATTTTCACTACACAATGATTTTGACAACTCCCTCCGCACTCGCAAAACAGGTGTTTCAGGACCTAAGCTTCGTAAGACAGCTAGTTAAACAGCTGATCGGCGGTTCACAAAGCGGCTTTCCTATGGCTGATCTTCGCTAGACAACGATGATTCTTCCCCATTGGGAAGGTTTCAATGCATTCCAATAGGGAAATGCTTTTCGCTAGACAGTGATTTCGCTAAACAGCGATTTCAGTGGAACGGATTATCATTGTCTAGCGAGGCACCACTGTAAAGTGATATCACCAACATCAATCTGGCACATGATTCACCTTGTCGAAAGCTATGATACCGGCTTTCCAAGACTGTGATGTCATATCGCAAATACACATTTTAACTCATTCAGTCTAACCACTAACAAACATAATTAATTCCATGCATCTCTGGGGTAATACTGTGTTGCTCTTACTTAATTAAATTAAAGTGCTGTCAAATAAGAGCATCACAATCAGACAAGTCCTTTTGTTAGGTATGAGCATCACAATCAGAACACACTTATTACAAAAATTATTTTTACAAAAATATGAGATACATTATTTATAAACTTAACTAGCCTGTTCCCTACTGGATGCCCCGCATTAAGTATATGTCTCTTGACAACATAAACACAAAAGAGAGCTTATGCACCAGCTCGCATAGATTCTGAAACAACCTATTTACATTTCTTCTTTGGATCTTAACTAAAGGACCCCATTTAGCCTAATCAGATTACTGTCTAAACGCATCTGCAGTGTGTGAAATGAGTAGAACTGGCCATCAGATCTGAGCACAGAAAACAGGTAAAATCGGTAAAAACATAAAATGACATTCACAGAAGGTGGCATAAAATGGCACTGAGAGGAGGCTGGGCAAGCAATAAAACGTTTCTCACCCATTAGGAGTGCTTGCAACTTTGTCACATATATCCATAATAACTCCCCAGTCTTCAGCAGTGTTGTACTCATTTGTGGCTTTTTCTGAAAGAAGAAAGATTGAGAATCAACACTTTTTCAGAAAAGAAGGGATTTTATGTCTGGATCTACCACTAGCTCAAAAAGCACTTTTAAATGTATTTTCTTTCATTTTATGTGATGTTACTTATTTCTATTGTGCCATTCTCCCAGAATTGACACACAGAGTATAATACAGTTAAAAGAAAACAAAATTCAAATATAGTAAGTTACAGACATCATACGGAGTTATGTTATATTTTAATATTAAAACACACTCATGATTTGTTGTTGTTTAGTCATTAAGTCATTAACTCTTCGTGACCCCATGGACCAAAGCGCGCCAGGCCCTCCTGTCTTCCACTGCCTCCCGGAGTTGTGTCAAATTCATGTTGGTTGCTTCAATGACACTGTCCAACCATCCC